AAACGTTAACTTATTGATCAAAAATAAAATCAGTGAATGTTTTCAAGCATATGGCTTTACACAAATTATCGAAGATCCCACTCGTATTACTGAGACAAGTAGCACTCTCTTGGATCCCATATTTCTGTCTGATGTTGAGGTTTGCGGTAACAAGGGTACCATCAACGCTGATATCATTAGTGACCATCAAATGGTTTTCTGTGACCTACTTTGTAGTTTAAATAAAGTACATAAGTATGTGACTTTCAGAGACTATAAACACTTCGACTTAGATAACTTCAACCGAGACTTACATCAAATGAACTGGGAGCAGGTCTTATACTTTAGTGACGTTGAAACCAAATTGAAATTTTTGACTGACAACATCAATGCCATCTTTGATTTACATTGCCCAATTCGGACAGTGCATGTCACTAGACCGAAAGCACCATGGTTGACCGCCAATTTGAAGTTAATTTTCAAGGAAAGAGATAAAGCGCTGTCTAAATTTAAAAGCAATCCGTCTGTTCAAAATTGGAATAATTACAAATCTTTGAGAAATTATGCATTACAGTCGTTACGGAATGAAAAGTCTGCCTTTTTGGATCATTTACAAAATCAGAGAAATTCCTCTTTATTATACAAATCTTTAAGAAATATGCGCGTTCAAGCAATTAAATCTTCTGAAATCCCATCAACACTCACAGACCCTTACAAAGTCAATGAATACTTAACCTCAGTTTTTCAAAACAGTGATGAAGCGTGCTTTGAAAAAATACTTTACTACAGAACAAATAACTTTTTGCAAAGAAATTCATTTTCTTTTAAGCTAGTTGATTTAGATGTGATTAAAACTGTTATCTGCAGTATAAAATCCAATGCTTCTGGAACGGATGGTATCACGTTACAAATGTTAAAGTTATGCTTTCCAGTAATTGGCATTCATCTGCTACATATTATTAATATTTGCTTGGAAACTGGATACTTTCCCGACCTTTGGAAGACAGCTCTGGTGACTCCTCTGCCAAAATTGTCTAATCCGATATCCATCGCTGACCTCAGACCAATAAGCATATTGCCAATAATGTCTAAAATTTTAGAACGAGTAACTTATACACAGATTCTCGATCATCTCAATGCACATAATATAATCCCCACCCATCAATCAGGCTTTCAGAAAAACCGCAGTACAACTACAGCCTTGTCTTATCTCATTGATAGCATCATATCTTCCATCGACAGTAAAAACATGAGCTTGCTGGTACTGTTAGACTTTTCCAAGGCCTTCGATACGCTTAACCATCGACTGCTTGTTGCCAAGTGCCACTACTATGGCTTCGATGAAGTTGCCTGCAACTTTATTAGGTCATATTTAAGGGAACGTAGGCAAAAAGTAAATATCAATAATCAAATTTCGACACCAAGGTACATTCAGTCAGGTGTTCCACAAGGCTCAGTACTGGGACCATTGATGTTTTTACTTTACACTGCAGACTTACATGATAACTTCAAGAATACACATGCTCAATTTTTTGCTGATGATACGCAGATGAAGTGTGATTTTAATGCCGACAATGTCCAGGAGTCCATGATGCTAGTAAATGCGGATCTGGATAGTGTTAATAGGTACTGCAGCTCTCACAACTTGAGACTAAATCCCTCAAAATGTTCTGCTATATTATTTGGCAATAAAAGATTATGTGAAAACCTTAAACCATTAATTCACATCAAAGTTAATGGGGAGGAAATTATTTTTTCTGAAATAGTAAAAAATTTGGGCATTCACTTTGACTCGGACTTACGTTTTAACTCCCATCTGAATAATGTCTTGAAAAAATGTTATCTATCCCTCAGGCTTCTATTTGCAAACAAACATATTCTGCATAGAAACATCAAAATTAAATTGTGTCAAAGTTTAGTTATTTCTAAAATGTTATATGGCTTATCCATATATTACCCATGTTTGACGTCTATTAACGCAAAACGTTTGCAGATAATGCAGAATACCTGTGTACGGTTTATCGAGGGCCTAAGAAAGTTCGATCATGTATCACACTTGTATCGTAATCTTGCATGGCTAAGCGTTCAAAACCTTTTCAAATACTCCATTATCAGCTTTACTCACAGGATCATACTAACATCATCCCCTCAATACCTCAGCTGTAAACTTGTTCCAAGGGCGTCTGTGCATAATCTTCAGGTTCGTAACCGTGACACCTTAACTATGCCAATACACCGCACATCACTTTTTAGACGAACTTTCACATACAATGCAATTTTATATTACAATAGCTTAAGCCAGGATCTGAAGACTATCCAGTCCTCCCGGAGTTTTAAAACTCAGTTAAAAAGATATTTACAAGAATTGCAAAACAACCGCTAGCTTAAGAAGTTCTTTCATTTTCATACTTTTTGTATTTTTCATTAATTATTTTTCCGTTTCTTCATAACCTATTATCTCTTCTTCTCTTTATAGCTAAATTGGCACAAGTAGGTCTATTATAATGTAACCTATTATCTCTTCTTCTTTTTATAGCTAAATTGGCATAAATAGTCCTATTATACTGTGACTTAATGTTTGTTGTTTCACTTTTTTTTTTTGTTTGTTTTTGTATAACTTGTTTTTTTTTTTTCACTTTTGTACGGGGTTAGATGGTGGAATAGCAGGTGCTAAATCTCGCCCCATGTAATGTACCATGTTTTTGGTCAATAAAGACGATTATTATTATTATTATTATTATTATTATTATATTCGCGGCTGTCACACGTCTTTACTGTGGGCCTGCATGCTCCAACCATAGTCTAGGTGTCATCAGTGCAACTCCCCAAAGAAACAAATCTAAAGGACTTAGGTCCTGTGATCTCGACGGCCACTCGTCTGCCGATCCACTAGCAAAGTAGTGCTATAAGCTTTTGGTAAAAGAACCGTTCAGCCATAAAAGCTCTCTATTGTTCTTGCCTGAACACCAAAATGCTGGCTTAATGTTGTGTGGAATGCAAATTTGCTTTATAGAGATATAGATCTGGTACAAATTCTAGGTAAATCATTCGACTCTGTCGGTATTTCATTTCTGACATTTGTCAAATTGTTGTATAACACCTGCAGGCAACACCAAAATATTCTAATAAACTAAAGACAACATGGACGATGCCATGATTATACACAACCACACGCCATATTGGGCAAACATTTATTCCTCTATTTGATATTAAATAATTATAAATTATAGATATAAAGTGATAAACATTAGTGTAATTGTGTCTAAATATAGGATTTGTGGAAGATTTAACGCATCCATCATAAAAATCTAGACATACTTTTGATCATTATCAAAATATGAATCAAATACGAAGCCCGTAGAAATTGCGTTACTACTTTGCACGATAATCACAATAAAATTTGCTGCGCAAGTAATTCAATAGCCCTATATCACAGTGTAGAAGTTTATCATATACCTGTGTATGAAATTCACACTGGCAGATATGTAAGTAAACAAGATGACTGTATTGTATTAGTTATATATTCTTCACTTCGTCTATACAACACATAAGAAATAGTTTGGTTGCAATAAAGTAGAATCACGTAACAGAATAGTTGTATAGTTGACAAAAACTGAATCTTGCACTGAAGCAAATGTCCTATAGCGGCTGCAAGAGGCTTACACTTTTGTTGTATAACTGTTACCTGCAGCCCTTAGACAACCTCTTAAATGACTGAAGTGTCCTATTAGGTGTGCGCATTCCGCTTGTATAGCTGCTCTAAGAGGGTTCTGCCAATGTTCTTACAGTATACAATGCTGTGTAAGGAATACTGTATAATCATTCTTGCAACTCTAATAGGAGTGATAATTGTTAGTTGGGAGGTGCACCATTTTATTAGAAATGAATGTAATTTTCATCAAAATTAACGTCATTTTCTATTATTTCGGTAATTCGTTGCTCTATTGTATTTTCTAACATGTCCAAGTACGTCTCGCCCGTCAAGTTTCCAAAAATAAAGGTCCTATAATATGATTTCCGAAAAAACCTGCCCACACATTTATCTTTTCGGGATATTGCGAGTGTATCTCTCGAAACAAATGTGGATTCGAGTCACTCAGATAAGGACAATTATGTCTGCTTACAGCACCGTGTAAATAGAACGTACACTTCGATAAACAAATATTAAATAACAGATTTGCATTGTTGATTGAACGTTGGGACATTAATTCGCCAAATTCTAACCTTTTATCAAAATCGTCTTCATTCATGGACAAGGTTTATCTTGTACGGGTGAAATTTATTGCCTTTCAAAATTCTTTGTACTGTTGCGCTTGTAAATCCTGAAGAAGTAGCCAGTCCATGAGTGTTGTCAAGTGCTACGTTAATATCTTTGTCAGGATGTAACGCACCAAAAAACCGGGCAGTAGCTCTTGTAATGCTCGCATTTTGTTAAGACAGTTTTATTATTTCTGTTCAATATTTATCACAACTAGGTAGGTAACAACAATTTGAAATGAAAGACAATTTTTTTCTATGAAATACGATGACACTGATTGATGTTAAATGTTCTTGCTGGCATCCATGATCATTATTTTTTACCGTACATTTCATCATCATCAGTATCAAGTTGCGTTGGTCGAATTTTATTATAAATTCAAATACCTTCAGCACGATTAGATATAGGCGTCAAGTCTATCATACAAAAGTTACTAAAAACTTCATGGAGATTCTAAAAATTTTAAAAATGGGGCTTTCCTTTCAAAAATCTAAAGTGTACTGCTATATCTTATTATTCGATCACCCTGTATTTTACGGTTATAGATGAAAAGACGTCCCGATAGAAATCAAAAATGACGCGTCCGAGCGTTTTTCCCAAAATGTACCAGGAGAGTCACAAATGTGCGTGCGACCTTTTCGTTGGGCCAGCCTGTAGGTATAATAGCTATCGACGTTTGCTATACGAGTCGAAGAATGTTTTTTTTGCCAATTTAAAATTATGAACGCTATAAGTTTTTTAAAGGGAATGAAAATATACGTACGGCACTGAAAGCCCAACATGAGCCGCATTGGCCTTGTCTCTTGACAGCTGTCACAGCTGTCACAGCACCCTTTTTCCTCCAGTCAATCGCAGTCTCTGTCTCAATATCCGTGGAATCAAATTTTAGCCCTTTGCCTGGTCGGGCAGCTTTGCCGTGGGTCTTCAGCAAGTCCAGGAACACTTGTTGGGTCATGTCGTCAAACTGTGCTACCTTCATAGCGTAAGTCACCTCACCCGACTCGTACTTTTTATTGTGTTCTTGGATCTTACGCACGTTGTCTTGGAAAATTGAAAAAGCGTTTATTATCTACCAAACTCCTGTAGGTCTCACCATGGATCAGCTGAAATCACGAAACAAAATTTTTAAAGCACGGATTACAATCTGACGACAGTTCAACATTTGGCGTAGTAACCACTTCAGGATGCACCAACAATAATAATATACAAATGAGTGTAAGGGCGTATTTGGGGTTGATAATTTTTCAATCTCAGTTGGAGCTTCTAAAACTTATCTCATTGTTGCTCCGTAAATCCTTTCTGGTCAATGCCAACTTGAAAAAAAAGAAACATGGAAAGCGCTCGGAAATCCTTAGAACTAGTAGACATGTTGTGCGATTTTGGCCTCTGAAACATGTCTCAAGATGTCTGTGTAGACATGTCCATAAACCAGGCCCCGTCTACCGACCTGTTGTGAGACCAAAAATCGCAAGTCCTTAGCCTCCCGCACGGGTATCATGCAAAAACCTACAAAACGTCAAAAAAAACCTATACGATGTCAATTTGCAGACTAGGTAGTCTTTAGGATGCAAACAGTCGTTCCACTTTTGCTCACTAGGATCGTTGTGAACGTCTATCTATGGAGGAATCAATCAACTAAACTACATGCACTATTGGTTGCATAGTTTTGTAAGGGTGTCTGTAGTTTTTATCTCTGAGAAGAAAGTTGGTTGAATAGCAAGATTGCATTTGGATGATTATGTGTATTGGCCTGCATGTGTATAAAATCAGTGATACTTTCTGTGTGAGAAAATCATTACTGAATATGCTGAATACGACGGGTCCTTTTTGAAGACAGGTTATGTTCAAAGTTATAAATTACGAAAAACTGAGGCGAATATTACGGGAAATCATCACCGCGCCAGCGTTGTGTGTAATTACTGTTAGCATGTATATGGCTTGTACTTCAACAGTGTACAATGAATATACCTAATTGAAATTCAGCAAATTTCTAGCTTTGAATCACGACTAAGTGTATTTGAGACAACAATGCATTGGAATTATCATCAACACATACAACTTACAGCTTAGATCTCCAGTAATGCCATCTCTGCAGCAGATTTTACATAAAATCAGAGCCAAACATTGATAACTAAAGCATTATGACGTTTAGGCCACACGTATAACTAAGTGCTAAATTGACATCTTGTAGAAAAACCTATATAATGTTAAAAAAAACCTGTATAATGTCAAAAAAAAAATCGACATAATGTCACTTGTCAAGATACATGATACCCCTGCCGATCCGAATGTACATATTTTCACACGTTCCGTCACTCGACGTCTAGAGACGATAAATATCCCAGTCCATTCCAGATAAAGCAATGTCTCTGATGGCGAAAACGAACATGATACAGAAAAAATCACATTATCGTATGGACGCTAGACGAGACAAAGAAGGATGTGTATAGACCATCTATAGATCGTGACTTGAGACCGTCTCCAGACTGCCTATAGACAAATTGCGCAACTGGGTCTACTAGTGTGTACTTAGCTTAAGGATTAAGACTCTGTACTTCCCGTTAAACAAATCAAATAATTGGTGCAAATACTGACACAAACAAGTACTTGTGTTATATCATCAGGTGATAAAACTATCAATAGGTACATACATTTCTGAAACATATAGCCTGGATAATAACGATGCATCTTTGATAGAGACCTATAGTTTTATGACATTTTTGGATAGACCTACGAATTCTTTATCTCCGAGTAGCTGTTGAGAAAATAGGGTTCTGAATTTCCTCTAAGAATGTATGTTAGGTTGTCCCAAGATATTTAATTTTTTTCCAAACTCATGTCGTTTAATTTTTTTCCATTTGACCATAATAACTCAAATAATGAATATTATTGCGATCTGGGAACGACTTTCGGTCAAAATTTGAATTTGATAGTTAATAGGAAAACCATGTTTCCAAAACTTAATTCTTATTCGTCATATAAAACACTGCTTTATTTGTATCTTATATGTCTTAGGTATTTATCATTAAAAGGGCATTGTTTACTAAATATTCATTCCAATGTTTTCTTTTTACAAGCAGGATATATGTACTTATATGTATAAGAAGTTTGAGAAACGTCGACAAGAGTTTTCTTCGAACTTGGACAATAAACCTACATTAAACTGTAATAGGAATTGGATTGTCAAATGTATAGATCTTGTATCTCGGAAACTACTCATGGAAAAACTTTGGGTCCATTGACACATTTCTTCAACGCGTGGAGAGATACAATATTCTGAATTGAAAAAAAATAGTCAAAAGCGATTACATACTTCGAAGTTGAGTCATTTATTTTAACAGTGAGTAGATCTGATCAAAAGAAATGTTTTTTCCTTTAACATTTTTGTGGTAAAATTAGAGTAACAAAGTTATAGCCCTTTGGACGTTTGAGTACCGCCCTGTCTCAATAATAATATGATGTGCTCGTGTTTGGCAACAACGGATATAATCCGCCTTATCGGTTCTTCGATCGGAAACAAAAAGGCGAAAGAATTTGAAACGCTTATCACGATGTTTTTACTACAATTTTATTCAGTTGTATTCAGTCAATGTGTCAGTTGGTAATGCGTGAGTGAATAGTGGTGTTTGTTGCGTGGCTCAAACGAAATAATAAATGGCACATGTTTACGAAAATGCCTCACAGGGGAGGGCATGCCGGTGCTCCAAGACCGCACGATCAAATACAGGTCCGCACTGAAATACTTGTCGGGAGGATACTATAAAACAAGGTAACATTTTTTTTTTATTTTTTTTTTATTTTTACACACATATTTTGATTTATCTTCCTTCTACAATCATTATCTGAAAATTAATGACTCAACTTCAAAGTCTAGTATAAGGCCTCAGCGGGATCTTTTCATATTAATTTCTAATTGGGACAAAAAATCAAAAGCAAACGTGTCATTGAAGAGTGATAAGTAAATAATATCATTGTTGCTTACGTAAGATCAGAACACAATAAGTTACGAAATTCTTTCCTTTTATATGAGAGCAAAAATGTTCGCTAATGAGAGATAGGCAAACTAAATAATTGGAATCGTCTACAACAGCCGGAAATCGTGTGTCAAAACCGAGAGCACTTGAGTAATATAGATTATAAAACAAATGAACATAAAAACGTTTGTACCATATTTGATTTATGTGACGATTTATATATTTTCGGCGTAATTTATGCTCAGCTACAAAGTACGCAAGGTGTCCAGTTATGAACTCAAGTTGTTTTAGGTGCCGCAAGCTGAGAGCTCTGAGGAGCAAAGCGGTAGAAGAGAGAGTCCCGCTGACTGTGTTTTGGGAAAAGCTGTGCAAGATTGTTGCGTTCCCAAGCAGTGGTATCCTCCAGGTTTCTCGACAGAGCAGATGTCCCTGCTAGTTTTCTTTATTCCAGCTCACCCATAGAGATCGGCTTGTCGGTCTGAATTCCTGCACATACATATAGAGTGCTGGCATCAGCAAATGTGTGGATTGGGTTGACCGTACAGGAAAGAAGGTCATTGATATGTATGTGGAACAGTGTCGGAGCCAAGACCGATCCCTGGGGAACACCTGCGTTGATGTTGTGGGATGAAAAGGAGAACCCGTCATTTACGACGGATATCCTGCAGCCAGAGAGAAAGTCAGCCAGCCATCTGGAAAGTTTCTTTGGGAGGCCATAGGATGGAAGTTTGAATAAGAGAGCAGCGTGCTACAGCTAATGGAATGCTTTCGTGATATCAAGAGCAACAGCATGAACCTCACCATAGATTGGTTGAGTGTACTCCATAATTGCATGACCTGAGCTAGGGTGTTCCCTGTGGATCGCTGGTGACGGAAACCATACTGTCTGTCACTAATCAGGCCGAGCGATTTATGCACCTATCCATCTCCTTACTTATAACAGAAAATAGGGCTATAGACATGTAGTTGTAAGGGTCGGTCTTAGGTCCTTTTTTGGAATGGGTTGGACATGAGCAAATTTCCAATTTTCTGGGAAGGTGCCTGACTCAAAAGATATCTGGAAGAGATGCGAAATAACTGGAGGGAGGCTCCGCTGGACACCTCTTCAATACAACGGCAGGAATCAAGTCCAGACCAGAGCACCGGTCCTACAATCCTATGCCTGAATGTTATATCCTTATATCCCGCAGAGTCTAGGGATACCTTGGCAAGCACTTCCGCCTAAGCCTTTGAGTTAGACACGTAACTGGTAGAAGGCTACTCTGTGAGAAGTTCCTTTCAATCTGCTTGGCCAATGTCTAGAAAGTCCGACTGCCATTGCGCTGCGACATTACACTGTGCCTAACTTTTATGTCGAGCTGGTCTTTGCATTGCGGACCGCTTCGTTATATTTGTTTCTGGACTCGACGTAAGCTTTCTGTACAGTAAGGTTTTGTACCGCACGATTTATTGAATCAGCCGTTGCACCCAGGCTTAGGCACTTTCACTGTATGAGCGATATATTCCTCCACCCCAACGTGGATAATTTCGGTTAGTGATGATCAGACAGCTGACGCATCCGCGTCAGCGGAACAAATATCTCTCCAAGGAAAGGAGGAGAAGAAGTCTCGCAACTAAATCTTCATCCAAATGACTAATTGCCGTTCTTCATCCATACGATTTCAGTATTAAACATTATTGCATAGTCAGCACTGTGAATGGCAAAGAAGAAGAATGTTGATCAACGTCTTGTCTGGACGTTGTATCTGCCGGTTTGAGAAGAAAACCTCACATTCACGGCAGAGATTTTACGACTTGATTCTTCCATGATCACTTTTGTTATTGAGAAAACTGGTGTGAGTTTTTTGGATTAATATGGACACAAATAATCCTCACAAACTTTTCTTAAAGGCCGACAGTTTTTAAGTTATAGGTGAGTCAAGGCCTGAAAGCCCGTAAATTGATCATTCTCAATGCTTAGACACCATGGTGACAATTGTTAGGTGTGAGGTTGCCAAGTGTGTAAATTGAAGCTGATTTTGTAAATTGAATTTATATCGGGGGCTTTGGATAAAAAGCATGTGGTGATAGCGGTGCTTATATACTTAATAAAGCCATTTGATATGATAGATATCAATATTTATACTCAG